TTTTTTTTTTTTTTTTTTTTGGAGAATAAAGATGCCCAGTTTCTCAAAGAGGATAGATAACCCATTTTCAATTATGCCTGGAAAACGATTTTCTATGTCTTAGTGTCCACCATATCATGTATGTCATATTACTAGCTACAAAAAAATAAAATAAAATATGGGTAAACCCAACAAGGGAATTATTATTTTTGATAAGGTAGGTGCATGTGTGATGTGTGTGTGTTCTCTACCGTTCATAATTGAAGGGATTATATTAATAGACATCGCCCATCAAAATACCCAAAGTCACAAGAAACACACACGTATATTTTCTTGCATTACTTAAAAGTAAAACAGAGGAGAAGAAGATGTGCCAAGTCCAATTTTTATAACACAACCCATATCTCAACTATCGTTGTACAATTTGGATTGTAGATTGAAGCATCAAAGATGATGCAATCAAGCCAACGGATATAGTCTAGTGAAAAAAACCTTGATTTGCAGACTAAAAGTCTTAGATTCGAACTCTAATGACATCTTAGTTGTGTACATGTGTGTGAAAAACTGTCATTCCGTTAAACTATCGCTTGCACTTAAAAGATGATGCAGTCAATGCACATTAGCTCACTTCTTTAATTCATTTTTTGTTTATAATCTTTTTTTAATACAAACGATAGTTGAAACTAGACGAAAGAGGGGACTTTTACACACACACACACACTACCAAGGTGTTATAAAGATTTGAACTTGAAACCGATAATCCATAAGTCAATGCCATTTTTCATTATGCTAGACCCCATTGCAACTTATAATCTAAATTTCAAACCTCACAATCACATATACATATTCTCCTTCTACATCAGAATTTTATTTGTGACACACATCAGCATGTGTGTGTGTGCAACAGGGCAAATCCTTGTAATTAAAATTCTGATTAGCTGCTATAGACAACATTTGATGAAGGAGGAGAGACTTGAACCAAATTTGAGACTTTTTCTTTAGGAGAGAGATTTTATTTGACTACTGACTTATGAAGACTTACCACTATATTACTAGAAGATTTTTGTTTTCTTCTTTTTCATGGTAGTTGTTATAAACAATCATTAAATACAATGACATGTGCCATGCACGAATTTGATGAAAATGAATATCAATTGACAAACGGGGAGAAAAGGCATTGAATGCGCAAATTCAGGTCTATCGATCGACCCTTTCTATATTGCTATTGTCGATGCCGTACGTTGTCAGTTGTTTAACGATCTGCACAGTTTCTACATACAGCAGTTAAAAGATTTGTAGCAAACTAGCGTGTGGGATTAATCTACTAGGTCATCTTTTCAAGCTAGCTAGCTAGTAAGCCTGGAAAAAGAAGGAAAAGCTCAAAATAAATATATAATTCAAGGAACGTCGCGATATTTCATATTTTCTTTTCCTTTTCTTTTTTTTTTAAACAAACTTTTGTATCGCTTTCGTGATGTATAAACCAGTCCACAAGAATGGGTTTAATTAGTTGGTCCAAAGTTGCTTTAATTCTTCAAAATTCAAAAGTTTGCAAGTTGGTATGATTGTTTCCCCTTTTTACTATTTAATCAGGAACTCAATCAAGTTAAATCTAGAGAGAGAGAGAGAGAGAGAGAGAGAGAGATTCATAACTTATATATATTTTTTTTGGTTTGAACCACGAGGTGGTCCTGGATGGGCCCCAACTATGGGTGGCACCTTTAAGCCTTAACCACAACCCAGACTAATCCCCGCTCACACCGGGTCGGCCCTTAAGGGGTAAAGTGCTGGCCAAAGTGGTGACTCCATACGAGAGTAGGGATCGAACCCCTGACCTTCTCTTAAGGAATGAGAGTGCCGAACCACTCACACCAACCACCTTGGTTATAACTTATATATATTACTCATCATCTTAGTCGTATATTGGGGAAAACCACTCTCACGGATGGTCATGGGCTCGTGGGCCATACATATACATATACAAAGACAAGTCATGGAACCCTAATGAATTGCAGCACTTACTAGAACTAGAAATGTAGCTAGCTAACGCATTGACTTGTACTGCATGATGAATATGAATGCACAGAGCTCATGCTTGCTCTTGCATGCAGTCTTTGGTCACCGTAGTGGGGATCAATTTTTTCTTTTCTTTTCTTTTAAAGTTTTTAGTTTGTTTAGGGCAGCTTCATCATGCATACTGGCATACTGTACAGTCATATATATATATATATATATTGAATACTGATAAATTTGATTAATTACTAATTAAGCAACTTTAATTAAGGCCCGTTGGAGAGCAGTATGACTTTTTCTCTTTCCTTTTTTTCTGTGTGTGTGAAATGTGTAGCTTTGGGCTTTGGTGTGGAGAAGACCTGTTGATTTATGTGTGATGATAATAATGGTGTGAATGGGTATGTGTGTGGTGGTGATTGAATGGATGGTGACTTGTGCTTCCCATCATGGAGACAAGGAAGGCCCCTCCTCAAAAGTTAGCTGTTGAAATATCATACCCAATATCTTATGAATTCAAAGCTTTCAATGGGAAAACAACTTTGCTTTCATTTTCATATAGGTTTTTTCTAAGACTAATTTCCATAAAGAGATAAGCTTAATTGGCTCTGTGTTTGTCTTAATCATTATTCAAGCCTCCAACTCCCATCTATCTTTTCTTTTTTTCTTTTTTTTCTTTTTTCTTTTTTTCTTTCTGAAAAGAGATTAACTTGTAATGTTCCCTTTTTTTTCCCATCTCTGGAATATCCAATAATAAAAAATGAAAGGAAATCAGACAGCTACTCAGTCAGCTCAGCGCTAAAATTTCACACACAAAAACTTAGGAGGATGCTTCGCAACATCAGTACATAACATATTAAGCCTAAAATTTATAGAATGAAATGAGGGGAGGAAAGATCCTGGAAATTCCCTGTGTATCAATCAAGGTATTATAAGAAAACAAATTAATGTAGGTCAAGTATATGCGTATATGTTTTTTGGGGGTTTCTTCTTGAATTCGTATGTAAAAAATTTCAATGCATGATGCATATATATAATAATATCTCTAATCCTATATATAGATATAGGGTTGCTGGACTCATTGCTCATCGATATATAGATTTATAAAGCTAGGAAGGAAGAATAATGAGAAATGGGAAAAGCGCAAGTTCCACTTCCACCACCACATTAAGATATAAGCAGCTCTCCAAATTCCAATTGCTTGCTGAGCCTGAGCTAAGCAGCTCTCCAATAAATAAATCAATAAAGGCAGGCAGGCAGCCCAGAATCTCTAACTGAAAGTGAATGGCTATTGATAAGATGTATAGACCTCACCTCATCATGATCACTCACCATTATCCTTATGTCCCTCTCTCTTGTTTGTGTGGTGTGTGGTGTGTGGTGTGTGATGTGTGTGTGTGCCATCCCTTTCTTTTGCTTTTTCCCTTCTTATTTTCTTCTTAAGGTTTGTCATTTTCTTTACGAATATTCAGGCTTTCATAATTTTTTTTTTTTTTTTGGTAACATGTCAAAGTCCACAAAGTTAGTTAGAGAAAAGCTGTAGAGAAATAAGGATAGATAAGGTTTTCTTTTTTTATTCACCTCTGAAGAATAAAATAAAAACATATGATTAATTTGTTGGAAAAGGAAAAGCACGAAAGTTCACAATATTCCAAGGAAATATATTTATTTTTTTCTATTTTTTTCACAGATGATGTTACTTGACGAATTGATGGCAATAATTTTAGATATCCCATTACCCAATAAATGGAGAATGGGTGGTTGAGAATCATACATCTATGTCTCTCTATCAAAATTGGGATGGAAAAGAATCCAATCCAGTGCAAGTGTGGAACTAGCTAAGTGTTAAGTGGATGTGGACTTAATAAATACAAGCAATCTTTGCCATGTGATGCGCCTCGTTTGCTAAATTCAGAATTTTGAATAGCTTCCCTCCCTCTTTAGATAGAATATACTTATTACTCTTCCTTAATGTGAATCGTAGTTTAACACATATGTAAAAATGATTAATCAAAAACACAAAAAGAAAAATGTATGCACGCATCGCACTGAAGTGAAGTATTTTCGTTACTTATTGGCTTTAGCTGTGGAGAGAACTAGATTTCCCTTTCGCACAGAGAATACCTAAATATGTAGTGCACCAGTCTATCCAAAACACTGACTGATATACCAAAATTACTTGAAATAACAACACTGCCATATTTTCCAGTTTTCCTCTGGTTTGTCAACCAAATGCAACGTCCGAACTGACCTAATAATGGCTAGCTACAATTGTCTTTAATCTAATTTGCTGGATACCGCAACATACATACATGGAAACGAAAATAATTTCTTTCCCATTTGGTTTTGCGTTTTTATAAGGGTTAGCCCCTCTATCCCAAAAATAGGAAAAAGATCGGAAAACCCCAAGTACGAGGCATTCTAATTTCTAATTTATACGTGCATATTTCCTAAAAGAACCCAAACAAACAAAAAAAAAAAAATTGAAAGGCGAGACACGAGCCATACAAGTTCCAAGTATTCAACCGTTTGATTTAATGTACATGGAGGGCAAGGGAACCCCAATAAGTTTACGGTCAATTAAATCATACATAAGTTAAGTAGTTATTTACAAAGTCCAAGCAACTAAACTCAGCTGCTCAAAGAAGGGCCAAAGTACATGCAGATGGGTGGATTGACCTTGAAAATAGAGAGGATCGCTGATGGAATTGTCCAAATCCCATCACCACATATTAGACCCGAAGCAACTGCCGCTGCATAATCCTCTGCGTCCTTCCTATTCAATCGCTCCCATATGAACAATATCACTGTCCCAACAAACATGTCGATGGCAAAGTATGCTCCGATATAGAACGGGACTGCCATCGCCATTGGAATAGGAATAAATTGTGATATTTTCTTAGGGGTCACATCCCTCAGGAGGTTTATGACCAGAGCTGCCACAAAAAAACCACAGCACATAGCCATGCAATGCTTGGGCAGCTCTGAGAAGCCCTCGATGCCTAGTATTGCCATCTCCCTGAATATTACAGCATACGGTGCTTTGTACGGACCATCAGGTGACCCAATGTCAAAAGCAGTCCAAAACAACCAGAATGTTAATGGAGCAATCACACAGCCCATGGCCGTTCCCACTAGCTGGCTAATAAACATAGACTTGGCCGAGGACATAGTGAGGTAGCCCGTCTTGAAGTCTTGCATGAGATCAGCTGCGGTAGAGACAATGGACATCATCACCCCACAAGCTGCTAACCCAGCTATAACCCCACCATCACGTCCAACTAGCGAAGCAATGATGAAGAGACCAATCTTCCCATAAGTTGTAGTTAAATTCCAGTCTGTGAGGCCAGTGCCATAGGAGTTGCAGAAGGCAAGGGCTGGAGCAAGGACATATGAGCCTAGAACCAAATACCATTTGAGAGGTGGAAAGATGATTGGCATTGTTGCTGTAGATATTGCAACTAGGCCCACATATCCTGCACCCGCAACCCACGTTGGTATTCTGTCCTTTAGAAATACCTCTTCCCTCTTTTTCTGCTCCAGTGTAACTTCAGAACTGTCACCATCTGCTTAACACATATCAACAACTATTAGTCTTCAGGTGAAAACAGGTTTCCTCATAATTAAGATACATGCAAACTTTAATCAACTCATACTATGCCAAGTGTGAGATGCTATCCCCTCTTTCTTTCTATTTTCTTTTGGACAGGTTATCCACCAATATCTTCTCACAAAGCAATACTAGGATAATACATGTAGTCGTACAGAAAATACTAATAACAATATGTCGCAATATTATATTGATCAGAAATTTACCAATAAAGGCTGCCTTGACAACTAAAATTAAAATTTATTTTGACTCTGTACTGAAAATGCCCAAAGCATCTGAATACAATAGAGAACCATAATTTTAGTTTCTATATCTAGCAGAATAAACTGCCTGTGTAGCAAATACATAGATTTGCTACTCTAAGCCAAAGAATATACCTCTAAATTCCTAATGACAATGGATTTCTTCAGCTAGTTATATTCTTATGCCAGAACTAGAATAGAATAGATTACTCATATACAAACACTACTACAGGAAGAAAAACATACAGTTCAAACATCAGTGGAGTGAATACACGCCTTCCATATATGGAGTGTGAAGAGTGACAAAATGAAATTGTAGAGACCATACAAAGACTCACCTAAAACCTCATTAACAACAGGAAGGTTGCTCTGTTTGCTACTCTTATTGCGTATTTCCTTGAAAGTAACAGTTATAATCTTCACCAAATTGTAGACACCATCCCCTAGTATGAGGGCAATGGCAATAAAGACCTGCAAACAACACAATGGGTCAGAACATCACCTTTGGAGCAAATTCACATATATGATAGAGGATGACCAAAAAATACCAATATGAGAGAGAGAGAGAGAGAGAGAGAGAGAGAGAGAGAGAGAGAGAATGTGTGTGTGTGTACCATGCTTCCTTACTCTACCTTTAGATGTTTTTCATAAGAAATGCAACAAGATCCAGGCTACAAAAAGTTACACTAAACTCATGTAATTAGCCTGAGAAATCAAGGTAGTGTGCCCCAAATGAAAATAATCCATAATACCTTATATCCATAAAGACCTTTGAAATCATTACTACCAAGATCCGCTGGATACCAGTCCCCAGCATATTGTGATATTAATGGCCAAAGAAAACCCCATGATAAGATAGCCCCAAAAAGAACTGAGCAGTTGACTATGTGAGAGCATATGAGACCGCATCCAACATAAGTTGGACTGAAGTCAAAATAAAACCTGCATGAAGCGAGTCATGTAAAACATCAACAACTTCACTTTCATTAAATATTGTGGATCTTACTTATGCCACTTCCAAAGAACTTAACAAATGAAATCCAGGTCAAAGCCCAAAAGAACAAGGGGTGAATGCATGTGGAAAGAGAGGGAGGGAAAGGGAGGGATTAGGGAGGGGAGTGAGAATGAAGAGAAGATTCATGAAGAAAACCAAAAATATAATCGCATTACGTGTTCTTAAACAGTGTCAACCCAAAGCTAGGAAAGTTGTCAAATCCGCATGAATCTCCAACACCACTAAAGAACCACTTAAAGCAGCTCCAAATTAAACTTATACTTAAATACTTTCCTAGAGCACGAACTTGCTTCCTGCAAAAACAAAACTATGAAGATCATTAGTTGGAAATGATGCATCCATTTTAGTAAAAATGGCTACAAAGGGCTTAAGTAATTATTAAATATACTTTTTTAAGGGGAAAATTAAGGCCAATTCCAGTGGTGGCAAAGTGGACTACTGTTGAACATATCATAAAGTTGAGACAAAGACTTTACCCAGCAAGCTCAACACCAGTGTTAGTATGAAAACTATTTATCAACATTGCTGTGGCTGTCCCACTGGGATACGTGAGTTCGTAGTCCAAGACCATAACCTGATATCACATGAATAAAGATGTGATAGGATACATACGAACACTAATATGCAACAAAAAAGAAACATGGTTGCCAACAGGCATATTAAACATGTATCATTAAAAGGGCCTAGCCAACGAATACGCATTAAGAGACAAATGTTTCTGTCAAAGGGTCTAAAAATTACAACATTATATACATTGAATCAGGCATGCCAATAGCAAATTAAAAAGACAATTCCATAGATGTAAGGGCAAAACACCCGGAGCCAACTTAAGTCACAAGCAACACAGTCACCATTAGCTCAAAACCAAACCCATATGTATGTAGCACCGAAAAATTATCCATATCCATGAAGTAAGTAGTTACCTTGCGAAGGGGAACAAGACTAAAAAGGCCAAGGAAGCTGACAACAAATATGAAACCAGTCATCCACCACAAGCTTGGATTTTTAACATCTTCTGCCCGATTACCAGGGTAATCAGCACCAATAAGATTATATGTTCGCTCATCCATTGCAATCAGATAGGAACCGAATCCCCCTGCCAATTCATTTCACATTTATATGATTACACACCAGAAAGAAGAAAAACATTTTCATCATAATGTCCATATTAACTATTAACAAACAGGAAATGGAGAGTAAGAGCTATATATAATAGGAAAAAAAAACCATTCACACTGATTAATAGCTATTTAGTGACAAACAGAACACAAAGCAATTATCCAAACAAGAGAAAGAGAGTTACCGCTAAAAGCGAGGCCGTAACAAGCAACAACGCAGGTCTGGATGACGGTGTTTTCTTGCCTGGTAAAGGGAGCAACAGAAAACCCTAATTTGGACAAGAGGCCAGTCCAGGACTTGACGAAGAAGAAGCCTAGAAGCCCAGCGCCGACATTCATGGACGGAATAATCCCGACCGTAAGATTGAGCTTGTGGGTGATGATGCAGAAGAGGGTCCCCAACAGCGCGCTCACCACCAGCCCTCTGAGCGTGATCTGGTCCTTCCATTCGGGGACTTGGTCATCATCATCGACGGACTGAAGGGGGCTGATCTTGTCCGAATCGTGAAGCAACGGCTCTGATATCCCCACGGACGCTGTCTCGGTCCCCATGACTGTGATGAGCTTTTGGATATTCTGGTGTATATTGTTGGAAAATGAATAGGGATTTCAATTTCAATTTCAATGAAGGTCAAGATTTAAATTGTTGACATTTTTGGGATTGTGTTATGTTGTGGGCAGAGCAGAAGGATGGGCCGGCGTGGAGCAGACGTGCAGACAGGTAGTTGGAGTCTTCCGGAGAAGGAAAGGTTGCGTAGCCTTTTGAAAGTTTGTTCAAGTCAATTTATGCCACGTGTCTCGGCGTTTTATTCACTGTATTTTATTATAAATTCTGAGTAGGTTCACGTATGATGCAGACTAAAGAAATGGGGAAAAAGGAAAGAGTTATTTACACTAAATATCCTTGAGGTTTTTAGTATTTTCACAACACCCCTCAAGGGTTAGAAAATTATAAAAAACGCCTTTGAGATTTCAAATTGTTTTTATAAAACCCATTTTTGTTGATTGTTCATCCAGAAAATTTCATTATAAAAAAACACTTATGCAAATGAAAAAATTAACATCAATAAATGTATGTGCATGCTAATCTCAAAAACTAACTTTGTCATTTGGTGAAGTTTTATATATAAAATCATCAATCTTTGAACAAAAATTCAACATAAATGAATTTTAAGAAAATAATTTTAAAACCTCAAAGAGTGTTTATGTAATTTCTAAAACCTCAGAGGTTCTAGTAATTTTGTGAAAAACTCAAAAACCTCAAGGAATGATAGTGTAAATAAATATAAAAAAAAAAATAAAGAAACTGTTTTTTTATTTTTTCATTTTAAAATGGCACAATGCGTAAGGTAAGTGTAAATTGACTAAATGACTAACTGTCAAGGAAAAGATTAGTATTATTTTGGTCAGAACTGTCAAGGAAAGATGGGATCATGGATGTAGCTTTGGCCATTGGAATATTATTACTTTGCTCCATAACAACAAAAATGTCACCCTCTTCACCTTGGAGATCCAAATGTAAGCTTCGTCAATCCCCTTATCTCTTAACTAGTCCAGAAGATGAGTCAATCCAATACACCCTCATTTTTTTTTAAAAAAACCACACACAATAAAACATTTGTTATTAGCACTTTTTTGTTGTTGGAAAAGATGCTTTATTAAAAGATAATAAGGACTATAAGAGCGTACAAATATAGCATTGAAATAGCCAATACCATCCAAAACCCAAACACGAGAGACAAGAACAAACGCGTGATCTTAAAAAAGACACGCGCATGAACAACTTAAGGAAAAACAAATGTGTCATCTCTTTTTTTTTTCTTTTTTTTCTTTTTCATTAGAGAGTAGTGTTTGATGATTATTTTACATTGCCAATAACAGAAAAAAAATACCCCAACTTATCTAAGAGATATATTGCCAAGCATTTAAGAAATGCAACAACCATGAACTATTTATCCATAATGATAATGCATCTATAAACCAAATTGGTTATCTACTAATAAAGTATGTATGATGGATGGCTCAACTGCTAAAGGAGAAATAAAGGAAATTAGACCCATACACTTTACACCTGCAAGATGGGGGTCTTATCATTTTGAAATAGCTCCATACAAATAAGAACCAACAATAATTAGGGTGATCATGTAATAACTCCGTACTATACAAAAACGATAATGAAGATGAACACATACTCCAACTGCCCAATGAGAATCAGACCCAAAAGAAAAAAGAAAACAAAATGCAGGATACGAAATCTAACTCACATGGTCATGGATGCTTGTGGTGGATCCTCCTGCAGAGAATTTTGCTGAGTTTGCTTTTGTTGTGGTGGTATATGGAAGGTGTCACGGGTGGTGAGTGATTCTCTTCTCTTTTTCTTTAGTCTTCCACGACCAAAAGTGGCAACTCTTTCATATTCTAGCTCTTCGTTGGTTAGCAAAGAATTAGGATACCCCCAATCCAAGCACCCGATATGAGGAGAGAGCGCTCCCTATTGGTTGGAATTTTGATAGATCTTGTCTCAATTAATTAATTAATTCGTCATGATCGCAATTATAGAGTAGAGGGTGACTCCTTCACCACTCTTCCTCTTCAACATCATTTCATGAAAAAAGGAAACCAAAACCAAATCAAAAACAAACAGAAACAAACAAAGATGCTATACCAGTTCCACTTCTTGTCAAATTCCGCATTTGCTTGCACCTTCATAATTTTTTACTTGCCCTATTCTGCCTTTGGAATTCTGCCCAACAAGTCCTTTGCATGCATAAATTCTGCAATAGTAATAATTCAAGTGACGCAACAAAGTCTAATTGTATGCATTCAAAATTCAGGCAACTGCATTTAGCTCACAGAAAATGAACAAGCATTATTTGCCAGTAGCACCAGTAACCATACTCGAGAGACAAGCATGCCCCGGAAACGAAATTTCTGTAAGATTCCAAACTAAGTATGCTTTGTATGTACTTACCTACCATGCACCATTAAGAACAGTCGCAGTCAAATATCGATTCCCGTCATTAATAATAATAAAAACAATTATTCAATAGCAGTTCTTCAATGCTTTGAAGCGAAATCACAAAATCAGTTTACATGTATAAACTATGAATATACTTTCTGCCCAGGATCTCTTTAGTACTTCATTTGTCTTGCGTAATTATCAAGCCCACTTGTAAAAGGAATCAAAGATGGAGGCATGCATGCATGGCTTTGTCTCTAAGCCTACGGCAGCATTATCCTTCCCAAATTACTCAACTTCGAGAGATGAGTAAACTTGTGGGGTATGCTAATATTTCTGGGCCAGCAACTTTTTCCTGGTGCCTCCTCTATCTGGAAGATACTTAGACATGATAAGTACGACAGTTGGTCAAATCTAAACCCCTCTATAGCTATTAACTGTCCAAATTATACCTGCATGAAAGGTTTGGGCTAATATAAATAAAAGAGAGAGAAATTAAGCATAAAGCAGAGCTGCATCAATGTGTTGTTTAAGCAAAATGAGTTTACCCTTGTCCTGTTCATAAATCACAAGTCCATTTATAACTCATGGATCCTACATGAGATTGTAACGAGTAAACTCTAATTCAACTTCTAGAACCTACAGCAGGCATTTAACTTTTCAGTTTTCAATGCAATATTGAGCAGCTTTCATCGTATATGAAAATATAGTACAAAGCTTATCTAAAAGCTTTCACAATTTAACCAATAATCATATTTGCAGTGGCATATATAAAACATCAATGCTTATTTGTGCAACCCACTTCAACAAAGCACAAATACGCATAAGAACAATCTCATAGGTATCCAAACCACCCTTCAATTTGTCTACATGATTTGGTCTTGATAAGAACAGCCAACCACAATCTTGTCTCTTTCTAAATGTCTCTCTACTCAACCACCTCAGACCCTTCTAGCAACGAGTGACTTCCACCTCGTTCAGAAGTCATAATGAAAAGATCTTATTCTGCCACTCTTCCTATCATCTCTTTTTAAAGCCCATCTTCCTTGCAAACTAAACCTACATCTATTTTCTATCTTCAATGTTTACTAGAAAAATATAACATCAAGCCCTTCGACACGAAAAATGAAGGTAAGTGTAAACTCTTACCAAATTCAGAATAAGAGCTATGTTCATTCCTTTAAACTTTATTTTTGCATTCCATTCATGCAGTTCTTACAATGGGTGCACCACAAATTTCGGCACGGTAGCATTGAGCCTCTCAAGGATCTCAGTATTGGTATTCCTACTACTTTTTCCGTAATTTTCTTCTTTTGCCCCACATCTTAAATAATGCCGCAGCCAGACATCAGTCAAAACTTTTAATTCAAATAAATCAGGTTACAAATATTAGCATAATAAATCCTTGATCATAATATACAACGCTGCAGTCAAGGCTAAGCATTCAGTTCATATTCCTTGATCTTCATATGACACTGCAGAACCCCAAATTGTCTGAGGCAACCAATCTCTTGTGGACAGTGTCCACCTGATATCTCTCATTGGCGAATTATGTTGGGACCACCAACCACGTTGTACTAACTAATGAAATTACTCAACCATCAGAGAGACCAGTTTATTACAGCAACAATGCAGCCACTGAGATGACTTGATTATATACACAGATCAAGCCATTCTTCATTTGTTATTTTCACACATGTCCTAATTCCTTTTGTAACTAATTTCAGGGGATCCTGGTATTTTCCTTTCAGCTCAGCCATCAGTTGATGATCAACATTCCTATATGAAGTCAAGCTTTGGCTCCAGCTATGGATCTACATCCTTGGAGCCACCTAAAAGGGACCAAGAAAAATCTTTTTCTGAATCTGAAGCCAATAGAGAAGAAGAAACATCTGCTATTATCTCAGAGCTATTTCATGGCTTTCTCACCATTGGAACATTTGGCTCTGAACCAAATATCAATGAGCCGGAAACACCAACTTTTGCAACAACTTTAGAGAACTTAACTGAGCAAAAAACAGAAGTGACACAGAATGACTTGAAGCTCATCAGCTATGAGCTAGAAAAGTTCCTTGAGGCAGAGACAAAGGAAGAAGGGGTTCGTGCATCATCAGCAAGGAACAGTCATGCTAGCACCATTACACTCAATGGCAAGCAAATGGAGGAATCCGAAGATGAAGAGTACTGGACGACAACTGTGGTATGTCCGCTCAAAGAATATCTCTTTGGGTCCTCAATTGAACTAACAGACACAAGAATAGAAGCAAAGAAAGAAAAGACATCACTGCAAGAGCTGTTTGATAGGACAAAGATGACAACTGAAAATTGTAAGCAGACAAGTGAGAGTGTGGATATAAAATCCGAGCATAAGCATACATCTGCCATGCAGTTCATGAAGAAGATCATAAAAAAACTCCATGCTTCTTCGAAAAGCTCTGCCCCTTGTACTGGTGGCGATGTAACTGATCCTGTTTCCACCAGGAAGAAATTTGGTGAGGCATCTGATTCTGTTTCAACCAAGAAGAAACCCCATAAGGTTGGGTTCCTACAACTAGATATTCCCAGACCCACAGCTAAACAGCACGTCTGATGTCTCTGCATCATACACACACACACACATGTACGTAGATGTGTACATACATACATAAATACATCATTGCATTGCAATGATTGTATCAGTGCTATCCTAGACACAGCTAAGTCAAAAAACAAGAATTTGATGCTATCAAAGATCTGATTTTCAGCATCCAGACCAAAGAAACATTAATGGTGCGAGATCCAATGGTTGTTTATGGTTTTTTGAACACACAAAGGATGTGACCCTGACACCAGAGATAAATTAATTGGGTGAACCAAAATGTAGCATGAAAATCGTCCCTGCTAGCATGCTTAGGTCTTAGGATGTGATTTATACACTCAAAAGAAGGTGTTGTTTCCAAGTTACTGATCTCTGTAAAACCTAGCATCCAGCCAGAAACCTTATTTATCCAAACTAATCAGTAGAGTTTCCATGAGATGTCTTCATCAGACAACAATCTCTCTTTTAATAATTTGACGAAAACCACCAGATGTTGCCTTCACTTAGATTTGGGAAAAGAAAAAAGTGGATAACACTTCACATTCAACTTTTTCGTTTCTTTTTGTGTGGCATGCAGATCTTACGTATGTTCCACAGAAGGATCCATCCTGAAAGCTCTACAGCTGCAAGAGAATTTGTCGACGCCGAGAAATACAAGGACAAGAACAATTCCAGTGCCCATGGTGGTTGTCGTGAAAATATGATGCTCATGGGCAGAGACAACAGAAGGTTCCCTCAAGGGGCAATGATAAAGGGGGGGACTGAACATTGTAAGAAATACATGAACTTGCCCCAATACAGGCTGAGTGGCAGCAATTTTAGAAGAAAGGGAGAGCACTGGATTAAAACAGATGCAGACTGTAAGTATCACTTTATATCCTATGCCATGAAATACTTTGATTAGTTCCCACTGGGTCTGAGAAATCAGACACAGAAAACCTAAAATCCAGGAGAACAAAAAGTACAAAACACCCAACAGAAATTTCATACTCTACCATCAGTCTTCTATGAAAAATTGAGTCTATTATGAAGTACAGTCAAGATCTGCAAAACTGAGTCTATTATGAATATATTTAACCACTTCATGCTATTTGCATTGCAGACTTGGTGTTGGAGCTGTAGCAATAGAAGTTGCAAGAAAAGTCAGTGGTCTTGATCCTTTCTGAGACAGAATGCCAATGTTGTGTTCGATAATATTATCTTTTCATGTACTTATTTATGAGTGATTGAGTGTTGATGAACTCAAGAAAAAATGAAAAAAGACTAGAAGGTATTCATCTCTCCTCAGTGTGTTGAAGTTGTGACTCAGTTTTATCTAAATTTCTTTCCCAATCAATAAAGATTTCAATTATCTACAAGTCTTATTTGAATGGTCGAGACCTGAGAGCCAATCTCAAATTTCTTGAATAAGTATTCCAGTTACTAGCATACTATATGGTGCATCCCATATTTTATGTAACCAGACCCTTTTTTTCATTGCCTATTGTGTTGTTTGAACATCATATATTCTTATCAGACATTGAGGAAACTTGATCTTAGTCAAAGAGGTGGATATCAACAAATATTCTCAAACATCACACCATGGTTTCACAATTGGTTATCCAAATTTAATGCATCAATTCTTAGGAACCCACTATCCAGGCAAAGCACTACTGTTCATGTGCTACATGGTTCAAAGTCCAATTCAAATAGGTAGCACCATAAATTCGTGGATATGAGTGTCAGAAGTAAATATAAGTAAAGAGTCAAACCTCACAGCATGCCATGTTGAGGCAGCACCATCTTGCTTAAATCAAATCGGTAGAGGCTCTTCCCTAAGAATCCCACCCATCTCCATCCTCCAAGATCGATCAACTATAGCTGCTAACTCTCTGAAAGGCCATTACAAGTTCCCATAAGCAGAACACAAAATGTATAGAACAAGAGGAAAACAAGAGACCAGGTAATACAGTTCGTTTATAATTCCAAATGGGTGAAGGCCCTAGGTGCTAGATTATGAAACTTGCTAATGCTATAGTTTTAGGAAAATAAGATCACCTTAATCTAAATACAGTGCATTTTAAGCTAACTTGGTATGCCCTTTAAACCATTGCAACAATAATCATTAATGTTTTATACCACTTGGAAACTGAAAAAACATTCAGTAATGTAAATGTAATTCTAAATTAGTCCATTGGCTTTCAATTACAATTATATGCACATTGCTCAACAAAATACTAATAGGACACATTACGACCTTGACACCAGGCTCGCACTCTATTTTGCACAGGTTTTATGACTTTGATACCAGGCTCACACTTTTTCTTCTAGTTATGCACAAAAATTTCTTTGCAAAGTTAAGAAAGTTGCTACATCTGGCACCTCCTTTTATGACAAGAAATAAATGTAGAAGCTTTCTCAACTTCATAGAGCCACATTCATGTCCTTGTTGAAATGCAAACATTTGGGTCCATATATGATAGCTTGCAATACTAAAACTTTGAATTTATCAATTTCATAGAAAGTTGAAATTAATCTCTCACTACCTAGGTCGCCAAGGCAATGCACCAAGTGAAATAATGAACATATAACAAGTGAACAACAACAAAGAATCAGAAGTTAGAACCAGGAAACAAAAAAACAGACTTGAGATCATGGCTGACAACAAGTATAGTCAATTCTTTTTTTAGATGCTTTAGAAGCTTCACAACATCAGCACGTGCCTTCCAATCTGATCAAAACAAAAGTTTATATAAATATCAAATAAAGGATCAGAGATATAACCCTCCTCCCCAGCAGGAAAAAAAGAAGAAAATGAAACATGAAAAATAAAGAAGCATGAGCATCAATGCAACAATTTGGAAAATAGGAATTCTCAGCAAAAACAAACAAACTTATGACAACATTTTCCAGAGAAAAACTAGAATACAAAATTTTGAAGCCAGCAGCCAAGCACAACTGGTTAGGTCAATTTGGTTCGGTCACTAAGTCCACTGGAAGTTGGTTTGTATAAAGTGAATGAGAGATCAGTTTGAAAGTGAGTGAAAGAGAGAATGCCTCTATTGGTTGCCAGTGAAAAATGTTTCCCGGGTAAAGCATAATGGCATTCTCAATGCCTGATTGTTGAAAATAGTTTTCCATTAGTCCAACTTGCATGGAAGGAGCAAATGAAACCAGTAATGAAGTAGAACCAAAGGCACTAAATTCATCTTCTTACCAAGACCAGCAAGAGGTTCATCCAATATCAATAAATCAGGGACTTGCACCTGAAGATTATGGTCAATTGACAAGTATGAGTGACTTCATGCCAAAGTGATAACTAGCTATATAAGACTGAACTTTATGAAACCAAAAGTTAAGGTGTCATCTAATATGTATTACATTGTCAATTTGGTGTTTGTGATTGTGTTTAAATCGAAGTTCTTACTAATTGAATTGCCAAGGCAAGCCGACGTTTGTAGCCACCACTAAGGGAGTGGGGATCTCTATCCAATGAGATCCCACTTAAACCAACCTACAGTCATCAGTTGAATTAATCATTTTTTAAAATAACCAAACCCTATCAATAGTGAGCATCAACGGAAAAAAAAATGCCAGAATAAGTAGAAGAAAATGTTCGTGTTGGGAAGGGGCACAAGTACCCAATTGATTGCTCGTTGGAGTCTTAGAGCAAGATGCTCCTTCATTTGAAGATCACCCTTTTGTCTTGGCCACCCAAATGTAACTTCGTCAAGAACATTATCTGCGACAAAATACCTAGCTTGAAAGGGGACATATTATCAAAAACTTGGAAATGGGAAACCAAACAGACATGACAAAGACTATGAAGGATATGGGAGCACATTACTGTAATTTAAGAACATAAGAAGGTAATACACCATGATCAAAGGCTGAAAATAAAAAACCTTTGACACAGTGGTGATTAAGTTCCAGAAACGTAATTCATACAGAAGATGTTGGATACACAAACTTGGTCAAGTACTTGAAAAAAGGTATATTTCCAGTAGAGCAATGAACATACATTTTTAATCTCACTGTAAGAATACAACTTTCATTTAACACATAAGTGTACAGACAAAAATGGGAAACTCCGAACACTTTACTTTTGTACAAATTCCAATGACTACATGCTGATGTAACTCTCAATATACGCAAGAGAGAACCCCAAACCCTTATCATGATTTATAGAGACTGCAAACAAATTTTAGTTTCTTAACTAATATTCAGTACCTCTCTGGAAACTGAAATACAATGCCAACTCTTCCTGAGGATAAGGGTTCAGGAGACTGAACTGGATTGCCGTCATTTCCATATTTTTGAATGTAAATTGAACCTGAAGTTGGTTTGCTTATCCCTGCAAGAAGCTGGAAGAGGGAGAGGAAATCATATACAAGAAACTGCTTAAAAAGAAGATGGTTAACATAATGAGTAAGAGTTCCTTCAATAACATTAACACACAACCTGCACAAGAGTAGTCTTTCCACTACCACTCTGTCCAAAAATTAAGCCAAAGCTGCCAAATCAAAGTGAACAAGTTATCCTAAGAATGCAAAATCTGCTCCACCCATCACAGAATATGTGTGGTCCAACCCAAATAAATATCTGACAATATGTGAACCAGTTCATTGCATCTAACACATCCTTTGTATGGTCTGGTATAAAACAATCTGTTAATATATCTGAGGCAGAGGATGATCCATGACAATATTACCTCACAGAGGCATTCCTACTCGGGATCAAATAAACCAAATTTCACAAGCTTGGCAGAATGAATGTGGTTTGCATGCAACTAAAGATTGACTACCGGACCACAAATATGTACCTTTTCTCCGGCAGTGAAAAACTAACAGAATTTAAAAGGCTAAGCTCGGTCCCTGGCGGTTGGTAGCTAACATTGCTAACCTGGAAAAGTGACAGGTTGAATACTTCAGCTGTTAAAACTAATAGACTGTGTCTTCCTTTCACAAAACTTAAGTAAGACAAAGATTCACAAGCTTATGAGCCAATGATCTAATCTAAAGGAAATGAAGCCATTACTTGGAAATTTAACCAAATTCTATGGACAAGCCATAATTATACACATTGCCTACCTCACTGTGAATGCTTTCAAAATACTGATCAAGAACTTAGCAAAAGGAAAATTATAATAAAATTAAATAAAATCGAAGTTGGAAAAGGAAACTTACTTCAAAGCACGAGTGCTCGCATTTGAACTTCACAGAGTGTGAGTTTCGGAAATTCAAACTGTGAAAACGAGAAAATCCAATATAATCATAGAATTGTGAACACTAAACGTCAATAACGCATTGGACAAAATGTGATATGAGAAGGTCAGACAGACTAGACACTTGCCTTGAGCGTGATTTGGGTGAGACTGGGGTTACTGGTTCGCGCGCTCTCCGCCCTGTTAAGGGGTTGAAGGCGAAAACAGAGCTCGCCATGTTTCGCGGTCTGCGGACTGAGCACGGTGAGCTTTGTCAAACAATACAAGAAAGACACAGCACTCACGGATTTGGGCTCTGAAGGGCTTGTGGCGGGTTTGGGCCTTTTTTTTGGGAGGGTTGCCTGGAAATCCAGGATTTTTTTTTTTAAATCAATTGAAAAATCGAGATATATACGTAAGTTAGGTTAATTGATCAAGACAAATATGTGCGGTGAGATTACAATAACAATTTATGAATATCAAAACTTCGTGAAAAGCAACGTACTCTGGAAACCCATCATTAAAACGTTTGAGAGTTGTACATATATTTAACTTGTATTTCTTTCTCTTTCACCCTTATTTCATGTGTTTCTCACGAAATTTAACAAGTATTTTCCTTAATAATTATTTCAATTGATTATTAATATTATCCCAGTATTTAAATTGGATATCAACCGTCTGATAGCGCAGTAGTTGATCATAAATTAATAATATTCATATTGACGAATTTAACAAAGAAAAGGGCTTACATGAGTTTTCCACGAAACTGGCATCCAAAATGTGCAAATGATAATATACAAAGGGCAACATGTGCAGCTGTCCGAACTCAGTAATATATGCGTGTGATAAAGAACAAGAAATGGATCGGTGCCCCATCTTTTCACGTTTTCACAAAACGGACGCTGACGTTGTAGTAGCACACCTCCTCATGGCAGAGGGCAGACAGAACGTGTTTTTTGGCCCCAACCAAATAAAAAGGGAAACAAAGGAACATGAATGTGAACAATCCGTCCCCAACAAGAAAGCATCAATCTCAACAAACATTACCCTAAGAAATGAAATTTGAAGTCAAGTCAAATCAAAGCTAAGGACTCGAGTTTGATTTTAAGTTTAGAATAAGAACTTTGATGCAAAGAGGATGTGACCGTTGTAATATCTTAAGACAATTACATAATGTTATGTGAGAAAGTTATATGTATGACATTGTGTAATTGGTTTTAAGACATTACCACAGTGACATATTCCCGTTATAAGAAAGTTTCATATGTCAATTTTATTTTTTTCTTTTCATTAGTAGAATCATGAGTCTGAACGTATCATAATTCTAACTCATTACTAATTCAACGACTTAGGTGTGGATACTTTTTGCTTAAAGAATGGGTTTGAAATTTCCCATATTCATAAATCTTCGCAGGAAAACTAAGAATTATAAATAAACTAATCAGTGTTATCTTTTTGGGACGAATAATCAATGTACTTAGTTGTGAGCTTTTTATTTTGTAAATTATTTTTTGTGGTCAAAATAATTGTGAGCTTTTTCTTGATGGGGCCTTTGTACCCCATTGTCACCATTCAACAAAAAGTAATTGACCCCTTAATGGATTGATTACAGAATCAGAAACTACGTCTACTCGTGGGAAGCCCCCTTGTCCTTGGCAATAACTTACCTAGCAATTTGTAGTTTGACTGAATCCCCTGGTGATCCTTCCTTCCTTTGGGTCAATAGTCAAAACCCACACAGCCATCCATCTTCAACAGCCTTCAGGAAAAGTTTCTGTGCAACTTCCATCACAACCACCACCACCTCCACCACCAGCACCACCACAATCACCAAACACTGCGAACTTACCACTAGACAGAATCCCACATTTACATAAAATTATTAGAATTGATTGTCACTTTTCCACGTGATATATACCACTTATCACAAGGGAATAAAAATCTCATTAATAGATTATTGGTTGCTTGGGAAGAAGTTACTTAGGACAAGCTGTTATATTTTGGCTCGACAGCTCATGTGATCTCCACGTGTTTCTTTCTTTTAGCGGAGAAACCATGAAGGCGTGCGCAGAAGCCTAATGAGTCATGAATGAATCAGAATTACGTATTCAATTTGATATTTGGCAGGCTCTGCGTGTGTAATCTCTATCTCTGCATCTCAATTCCCAAATGAAAGAAAGCTATATTTAATCTTTAGTCAGCGAGAAGAGACTGACTCGTTCACTCTTTTCACGAACGAGACGCAGAGCAGACTCTCACTTTTCTTATTTATTACACACCACCAACCCTTTTTAATTCATTTCTTGATTTAGTTTTTACACTATATAAGTGTATCAGTCGAGTCCTTGTTCAATTAGAAAATGGGGACTTCTCCTGGGAAGAAAGTTTTGCTCACCTCCAACGGGGATGCCATTTCACACAATATTGCCTTCTCTTTGGCCCAGCGGGGATGCAGGTGAACTGATTTCCCAACCCTTTACTTTTTTCCCCATATAAATTCCAATCTTTTCATCTTCCTTTTTTTCTTTTCAATTTCTTCAATTAAAATTGTCAATTTCTGAATCTGCTCGTTTCTGGGTCTCAATTCATTTGGTTGCATTTTGTGACTGAACGGACAAATGGGTGGTTCAAGATTTCTTTTATGTATTATTAAATGGTTCCTTTTTGTTTTTGTCCTTGGTGCTTTGCGTAATCAGTCTGGTCTTGATGGGAAAGGAGAGCTGTCTGCGGAGCATTCAACAGAAAATAAAGGGCTCATTGGAGGCTGTCGTGCCAGTTGAGGTGGTTGATGTAGACATGGAGGACGAGAGAGAAGGAGCTTTTGATGAAGCAGTGGATAAGGCATGCCACATTTTGGGCAATCTGGATGCCTTTGTGCATTGCTATACTTATGAAGGTACGCAATCTCTATCATATATATACTTGGAGAACTCAATTGCTGTGTACAATTTGGAATGAACAAGTTGTTGGCATATATCTTTGTTGGGTTCTGGGTTCCTCCTCCCTTGCTTTTGGCAATAATATTATAACTTCAGGCCACATATATAAAATGGATAAGAGAAAACTGGGGAAAATACTTGGTATTTGAAAATTGTATTAACTATTAAGTCTCCAAAACACTGTTTGCCATGCGTGACTGGGTTATGGTCAGCAATAGCACAATACCTATGTGGAATTGACTTTATGCTAATTGACAAAAAACGGCAACAGCTTTTTTCCTGGAAGATATTCACTTTTATTTTCAAAGGCTGATGAACCGATCTGATTCCCCTTTCTTGGGAGTATGTTGATCCTGTGTCAAAACATGTTAACAACTTCTTTTATGGACATTCTTCGTCGATTTTACTTTCCAATTTAGTTTCTAGAACCTATGTAAAGGTTGTTGCAATTTAGTTGGACATAAGCATTTCTGATGTTTGGAACAGGGAAAATGCAGGAGCATCTAGAATTAGCTGAGGATGAGTTTAAAAAGATAATGAAGAGGAACTTTATGTCTGCATGGTTTCTGTTAAATGCTGTTGGCAGAAGAATGCGAGATTATAAGTCAGGAGGTTCCATCATATTTTTGACCTCGATAATTGGAGCTGAAAGAGGGATTTATCCAGGAGCTGCTGCCTACAGTGCATGCTCCGCAGCCGTGCAGCAGTTAGCTAGGGTATGTTATTTGTATTCATGCATGCATGCACATACAATCAACAAGTACACTGCGGCTGCATATGTGTTCTGAGTACCTTAATTCCACAAATGAACTTTTTTAATGTCAGGAATCAGTCTTTCAAGGAAAGCAACTATGTCAGCCACTCATGTTTGAATACACAAATTTGAGTTTCTCTTGGTTTATTAGCAACCTTGAATTTACAGGGTTTTTTGTGAGTGATTTTGCATAGGTAGTGTGGTAACTTGCAGAAGCAAAAGAAGAAATTCTGTTTTAGGAATTAGCATTCTACGGTGTTGGTTATCCAAAACATCTCGTAGATTTATTGAGTCCACCCAGTTATAGTAAGCTAGCAGCATGTAGATCATACTACACCTGGATAAGAATTCCCCAGTTAATAGTTTGAAGTGATTTTATATACGCTTTGAGTCATGCGAGGTGAAACACTGAGATGAATCATGATTTTGTTTAATTTCCATCATGTCCGCTAGTTTGCTAAGATGGTTAACAGATTTAGAGTGATTGTTTACCTGTTGGATGGTCATTGTGTCAATTTAAGAAATATAGTGCAGGGATAGAAGTAACAAAAAGTAAGTTACCACATTGATGAGGAGAAGTTCATTGAGTTCAATGGCACTGGTATATTGGAAATGTTTGAGCATAGAAGATGTAGTTCTATGAAAAAGGATGGGATGGTGTAGTTTGGTTTTCTATATAATACCTATCACTTCAACAGCGAATTCTGAGTCTTGTGACTACTTTGTTGGGTGGATTTGAAGTACCTTTGTTCCCCATATCGGTCGTACACTTTTAGGTGTAGCCTTGATGTAAGGGCCTTCTGAGGTCTTGCTCTTTGGTATTTCCTAAATTGACTTTAAGTTAGACACCTGAGGCATAAGCATTGCACATATCTCTGGTGTTGTGATTGTCTTTTAAGGTACAAGTTCATTTTAGTGTGTGTTGTGTATTTCTAAAACTTAGTACATTTTGAGCTGCTTGTTGCATATGTCTACAACTTCTAGTATATTTTTCATTTATCTTTTATGTTTCATTTTCTTTTTTATCTGAAGTTGAATTTTGCATAAAACCTTTTGTTGCTGCTATTTTCAGACATCGGCTTTGGAGATTGGTAGATACCAGATTAGGGTCAATGCAATTGCCCGTGGTTTGCACCTAGAAGATGAATATCCAATGTTTGTGGGTATGGAGAGAGCAAAGAAGTTGGTGAAGGAGGCAGCTCCATTGGAGAGATGGCTTGATGTTAAAAACGATCTGGCTTCAACTGTCATATATTTAATCAGTGATGGGTCAAAGTACATGACAGGCACAACCATATTTGTTGATGGGGCACAGTCTCTGACGAGACCTCGGATGCGCTCTTATATGTGATTCTTCTCACTGTTATATTTTGACAGGCCATTAGTTGATTAGGTCTGCTCATAGGTCGATTAGCCAATTATGTTTCAGATCGAGTCCATTTTACTTGTATAACAGGGTCCACGGCAAAGGTGTTCATCCTGCATTCAATCAAGTGCAGGAATTGAATAAGCACCCTACACTCCACATCTCAGATAAACTTTCATTGTCAAATTCTCTTCCTTATGAATCACAAAAATTGAATCAGTTCCCTTACAAATAGATGGGCATAACATAACTTCCTGCATGAAATGATATTTTCATGATCTGTGGTTTGATATAATATATGCGATGAGAATGTCTGAACAGCATTTATTTTGGGATGGAAATTCAAATGGGCTGGTCTTTTTCTCGCCATGCTCAAGGTGTGAGCAGAGGTTGATGCATCAAAAACTCTAGAATGAATGAATGAATATCTATTGCCTAAAAAAGTTGATGTTCAGGTAAAATTCAATCAGCAGAGCTGGTTTTCTTTGCTAAATGGGTATTGGACTTCCCATTATGAACGAGTCAATGAGGTCGTGATCAAATGATTGATAAAGTGACACATTTTCAAACTTGGATGGGATTTTGATTGATAGGTCTGGCATCTTTCTCTTATGTCTATGTCCTAAATGATTAGGTTGTATACGTTTGTGTTGTGTAGCTGATTGTCGAATGAGCAGTCCCCCCCCGCCGGCCCTCGACAATCAATCCTAATGATAAACAGAGTACATACGAACTTGAATTTGTGTGACAATGGACAGATACCAAATCTCGTATTAGAGGGCAATTTTGTCCACAAGATTAAACCCTTGACACAAACATAACTCATGTCTCAAGTTTCACACACTATATCTGTATCATCAAGCTTCGGCGAATTTCGTGGCAAGTCGTGGTTCAACAATGGCAACTAATATCCTTGGGTTGGGACATCCACACATCCACATCCCAAATTTAAAAAGAGGGTAAATGGAAATCAAGAACAAGGATAGGGTGCATGTTTGTATGTAAGAAATACAACAGTTGCTGAAACGGCTCTGGTTTAGTCTTGTAGGTGAGGAAGGAAGAGAATTTACCCCAACAATTGGTGTCTAGCATATACAAATACTGTAACATATGTAATGTGGCGTGAGGCTATTTGAGGAGAAATCACCATCCATTTGTTTGAAAAATCGAACAAAAAAGGTATTGCTTTTCAAGTTTATTAATTATTATAGAGGGCTGCGGGAAAGTCTTAATCCGTGAACTTCTTTTTCAAAAATTCAAATGCACATGTCTCTGTATTGTGACTTTTTCTTGGACCAAACTTAGCTAATATAACCAAATTTTATGATAATCAAAATCTCTCTCCCAAGTCTCTTTAAACTTTTTTTTAGCTTGTAAATGTGCCGTAAATATATACACATTAATTTAGTAATCAAAATATTATTCTGAACGATCTTTAGGATGGCTACCATTAAATATAGTGTCTGCTTTTAACATGCATGTTGCATACAATAATAAATAAATACGATGCATGCCATGAAAGATTAATGTACTGCTCCAATTTGATCCATATATACCTCACTAGTGTGATGCAAAATGAGGTTGTTTTATTTCAATATAAGCGATATTGAGAAAGAGGGAAATCAAACTTAGGACTTTAGATGAAGGGGTATATACTAGCTCTTTAACTACTTGAGCTACATACCCTTTACTAAAATCAAGGCTAATAAAGCCAAATACGCACATGATTAATGAATGGTAGCTAGCAATTACATGGAAACCACGGGAAAGGTGGTTGCACACTTTGCAGACATGCACTACAAACCCAAATGCATGCATCAATTCAAACTCCAATATGAACTAAAGTCATGGTCAGACCAAAAATAAAAATAAAAATAAAAATAAAAGATATATAGAGTCCATGTTGGACGCGCCACAAATTGTCCACACATGTGCCAAGTCGACTATATGTATATATTTATCACCAGTCCAAAGGCGACTGCTGTTAGTCTACGCATAGCATGCATCAGTACCAACTTTACAATTAAACTCCCATTAATTTGTCATTTGTGTGTGTTTCTCGACCACAACCAAACCAAAGATATTGTTTCACTCCACCATTCAACTATAATTTATCTTAATTAAGTAATGAATCGTAGATTAGCTAGTCATAGACTCATAGTGTGGCTAATGATGAAGCCGCCTCCACTATTCCAATATATCTTCTGCCTCCCTCCTCCTCAGCACCTCACTCTATCACATATCCGCTAATGAAGCCTATAATTCCTTTGCCTTGGACCATTTTCGTGCCTCTTACGACACCACACCATACTCTTTTTTTTTGGTGACCATATCTCTTCTGTGTGTGTATATATATATATATACAGAGAGCTTCCATTGAGGGATTCCTCAAATAAGCTTATTTGAGGGACAACCCTTTGTAGGCCCAACTCCAGATTGTATTTCACTAATCCAAACCGTCTATTTTGTAGATACTCATTCAAAGATCATCTCTACAAAAAATCACTTGAATCCGATATCATTTGATCACTCAATTGAGTTATTGAAATTTTAGTACTTTCTTGAAGCATCATGTTCATTGATTTTGTAAAACACAATTGGATGTCGAAACGGTTTCAAATTTGTCTAATTTTTTGTAAGTTGTGGTCATCTCAGCCGCCTCTAGCTAGCTGGCTTAGTTTCTTTCTTCATATGGAGAAGTATCAAATGTTCTTCCCTTGCTCCTCTTCTACATCATCAGCAAACTATGATCCCATGATCCCTATCTCTGCAACAAATAATATTACTACAGATGATCATCATATGGGAATGGGAAGCTCTCAAGTTTACAACTACTTTGACGGCCGCGATCAAAGTTCAAATGGACTTCTGGCGTTGAGATAATCAGAAGGAAACAACGCTGGGAGAGAGGAGAGAAGTTTTGATAAACAAAGATCATCATCGGTACCTGCAGCAGCAATATTCTGATCCGACTACTACTGCAAGTGCAAACATTAATATTAATAATGTTGTTGTTGGAGCTGATCAAAATCCTCATGAGGCCACTAATTCAGGAAACAAGAACAAGGGGGAGAAGAAGACGAGGAAGCCCAAATATGCTTTTCAAACAAGAAGTCAGGTTGATATACTTGACGATGGCTACCGGTGGAGAAAATATGGTCAAAAGGCGGTCAAAAACAACAAATTTCCCAGGTATCTGTATACATATGCTTCGTTTTTCTTCATCTTTTCTTACTACATAATATATATGATGTGATCACTTGTTCGTTTTTCATCCTAAATCCTTCATTTTCTTTTGTGATTTCGATGACAACGAGTACCAGATTTGATATAAGTATAGTATTAGCTAGCAGATCCCACCATGGCCATCCATAAACACGTCTGGCTTTGCAGAAAAGCAAGATCCTAACTTGATTTTCCACTAGGAATTGAAAACAATATCTTTGTTTGATATTCGCTTCACAATTAATGTATGGCCGGGGGAGAAATTGGGGTTCTCTTCATACATTAATTGCATTTGCATGCACCAGGATTTTCATTATTATTTCTTTATTTTTCTTTAATTAATTTCTGGATACACTTCTAACGCTTTCGATTCTAGGTTTTTCTTTCTCACTTTGCGATCTAGTCTTAGGGTTTTCGGCTCATGACTCTCTCTCTCATGGCTTAATTGGTTATGAACATATTAATAAAAACTCTTGATCCATGCAAAGTTTTCCTAATTTGAAATATGCAATTTCATATTTACTGAACTTATGATGCAAAAAAATTTCCGCAAATCAAACGGGCCCTTGTGATGCATAGGGAGACCACATCAAAATAGGACCTGATTTTTGAAAATCATACATAGAGAGACCACATCCATGTCAAAACTCCAAGATATAATTAAATCATATTTGCCCTAGACTGAATGTTGGTTTAGTTTTCCATCTCCTCCCCTTTTGTTTTTTCAGTTGTAAGTTTCTTGTTCCTCTCTTTTTTGAGGTTGAATGATATCGATCGAAGTGCTTTGATAAAGAAAAAACAGTCACGATCGATCCTCAGAAGGGTTCTATACATGGACAATTGAATCTATCAGAAAGGGTACCATAACACCTAATCAATGATTTCTGTGATCTAACACTCAGATAATCGTCATCCCTGAAGCCAATAATTAGAGTTTTGCTAAGTTTAATTTGGTTCTAGGAAGAGTGTAAGACGGTAAGTTAATCGGTTGCACCAAATACTGCATGACCACTGCACTGCAAATTTCAATTCCTAAACAATATTGTTTGTAAATTAACACTTTTCTTTTTCTTAATTATTCTACACTTAGCATTAATTCAAAATGATTACATATAATGCATGCATGCAGAAGCCATGAGTGAAAAACTGAAGCTCTCCCTTGTTAATTAATTTGGTGCAGAAGCTACTACCGATGTACGTACCAAGGGTGCAATGTGAAAAAGCAAGTCCAACGCCTAACCCAGGATGAAGGCATTGTGGTGACCACTTACGAAGGGATGCACACCCATCCAATTGAGAAGCCTTCTGATAACTTTGAACATATCTTGAATCAGATGCAAATCTACACCCCCTTCTGATTCTGAAGCATCATCACATCATCATCAATGCAGATATAAATTAAGGATTCTGAAGCATCATCACATCATCATCAATGCAGATATAAATTAAGGATTCTGAAGCATCATCACATCATCATCAATGCAGATATAAATTAAGGAAATCATATGCATGCAGCATGCAGCATGCTTTTGTAAAAGAGAACAACTCTTCTAAACATTACAGACATTATTTCTCTATATATATGGAAATAAGTTTGTGATTCAAATTACTTTTATTAGTTAGAGCTGTACTGTAACTAGTTTGTGCTCATGGCATCAATTGATTTAAGTATTCTGGTTTTTTTCTTTTCCTTTCAATTAAGTCTTTATAGTTTTATTTAATGAGGTCTTTGCAGTTAGGTTTTATTTACAAATTACAGAGTAAAGACAAATTAAAGAGTTCGTCAATTAGCACATATGATATGCGGGTTAAGTTAGTTGATCATGGTAGCTAGTGTGCCAACACCTATATCACAACTTGGTTTGAATGCCTTTGATATCCCAGATAGAGGTGTCGTACTTGACATTTCTGCCTAACTATAGCAGATTGATATAGATTCTCTAATTTTATATTGATTGTGTTAAACCATAGGGACCCGATTAAATAAATTTTAGCTACAAGGATCCAATTGAAAAAACACACAATTTATTTTTATTTTTATTTTTATTTTTTTTAAGAGAAAAAAACACACAATTTCTAAGGAGGACCAAGTCAAGTTTCCTTTCTATTAATTTAGAGTGCTATTATTTCCAATCACCAGTCTGCAAATTTCAATTCCTAAACAATATTGTTTGTAAATTAACACTTTTCTTTTTCTTAATTATTCTACACTTAGCATTAATTCAAAATGATTACATATAATGCATGCATGCAGAAGCCATGAGTGAAAAACTGAAGCTCTCCCTTGTTAATTAATTTGGTGCAGAAGCTACTACCGATGTACGTACCAAGGGTGCAATGTGAAAAAGCAAGTCCAACGCCTAACCCAGGATGAAGGCATTGTGGTGACCACTTACGAAGGGATGCACACCCATCCAATTGAGAAGCCTTCTGATAACTTTGAACATATCTTGAATCAGATGCAAATCTACACCCCCTTCTGATTCTGAAGCATCATCACATCATCATCAATGCAGATATAAATTAAGGATTCTGAAGCATCATCACATCATCATCAATGCAGATATAAATTAAGGAAATCATATGCATGCAGCATGCAGCATGCTTTTGTAAAAGAGAACAACTCTTCTAAACATTACAGACATTATTTCTCTATATATATGGAAATAAGTTTGTGATTCAAATTACTTTTATTAGTTAGAGCTGTACTGTAACTAGTTTGTGCTCATGGCATCAATTGATTTAAGTATTCTGGTTTTTTTCTTTTCCTTTCAATTAAGTCTTTATAGTTTTATTTAATGAGGTCTTTGCAGTTAGGTTTTATTTACAAATTACAGAGTAAAGACAAATTAAAGAGTTCGTCAATTAGCACATATGATATGCGGGTTAAGTTAGTTGATCATGGTAGCTAGTGTGCCAACACCTATATCACAACTTGGTTTGAATGCCTTTGATATCCCAGATAGAGGTGTCGTACTTGACATTTCTGCCTAACTATAGCAGATTGATATAGATTCTCTAATTTTATATTGATTGTGTTAAACCATAGGGACCCGATTAAATAAATTTTAGCTACAAGGATCCAATTGAAAAAACACACAATTTATTTTTATTTTTATTTTTATTTTTTTTAAGAGAAAAAAACACACAATTTCTAAGGAGGACCAAGTCAAGTTTCCTTTCTATTAATTTAGAGTGCTATTATTTCCAATCACCAGTCTTATTTCCTCACTCACCTTATCTTCCCACCCACCATGTAAATTTGAAAAAACACAATTTTATTTTTGCACCCGTTATTCCTAAATTATCCTTTAATTATTCATTCAAGTAAATTCTCCTTACTTTCATTCAAAGCATGCTTCAAACCTTCAATCTCTATCAATCAAAACGCGTGGGATCCTCTGTAAAGTATTATTATTAAATAAATAATAATAATCGCTCTCAATGTTCATTGCCTCTCCACTGGACGAAAACAATAATAGAGAGAAATGCTAGAATTAGAAAGAAGATGAAGAGCAAACTGAGCAAATGAAATAGAAAGCTTATGTCCTGAGTTTAGAAACTGAGGAGAAATATGATGGAATTGTATTGGACCCAGTTGAAAATTTTGAAGCTTTATTGGAACTTTGATTTGGGTTTGGTCGGGATGAGGGAGAGAAGGGAGGAGTTGGGGTTGACAGGGATGAAGGAGAATAGGTGTTTTTTTTTAAATTTAAGTCTTTAAAAGTCATTTTTAAATTTGTTTTAAAATTTTGAAGATAAAGGTGGGTGGGAAAATAGGACAGGTGGGTGGAAATATTAACACTCTTAATTTATTTAGTGATGGCATTAGGAAAGCAATCGACTATAGAAGAACATCCAAATGGACCGGCTGCTTGGACCTCATGCCTCTATTGTATGAGCCCTTATTAGTTTGTATTGGGCCTAGTAGTAATACTACTATAAGTACCGACTTTGGAGACCCACTTCACTAATTAATTACGAAATAAATGATTATGGGTCAATCCTCAACACTTTTCTCCCAAATCGGGAGACAATAAAAGCTTGATTAGGATTGAGGAATATAGCCCACAATAGGCTTTTTATGAATTTTTTGATGTTATAAATATTCTATGTCTTTTGAAAAAGAAAAAAACAAACCACAAGATGTGGTGTCGGCAAACTGTCATCTCGAATTGGTAGACAACCTAGCGTGTCAATGACAGGAGCTCAAATCTAGTTGGGAGCACTTTGTGATCAAGACAAGCTAAATTTTGAGCGGGGATTAATTCCACCCTTTAAGTGTGGAAACACCTCGTGGTATTTACCAACAAGAAAAAGAAAAAGGAAAGAAGTAGATAAGTATGATATGATTATGAGCAAATCCAATTCTTATAATCTTATGGTGCTCGTAGTGAGAACTTGAAAAGGATTATCCACCTGTTAATTTCCTTGATTATATAGTATGAGTAATTCCATCACTTTAATAGTAATCTGTCCAATATATTATATATATGATCAACTCACAACGAACGAGATTTTAAAAAAATTGACTCCTTCAAGGCATCAAATACAGGGAAACTATATATATTTATCTGCTTAAATTATGGTTATTACACCACTTACATGAAAAGAAAATTAATTTAAGCGCAAGGTGTCTACCGTCTAGAAAGACCAGCCCTAAACCAAAAGTCATTCTTTTATGATTGTCGACAACTAGATATCCCTATGGACTAGTGGTCTTCGTTTAATTTCCCATTGAATATTTCACCCACCAAAAATTATATATATATTATTCTCTCACCCGCACGTATGTATATGAGAATTTCTGTAAGTAGAAAGGAAATAACGTCCTCACATACGTATGTATATATTGTTTATAAATGAAAAAATGGAGGTATTGAAATGCCAGAATTTTTCCAACATTAGAATGAAGAATCACTAAAATGAGCTAATTGATAAAATTACGAATTATATGACTTTTTAAATTTTGTTTTCATACGATAAAAGGTGAGTGATTCACACACAAATGTTTTGTTTTTCAATATTAAAAACAAGTATAGCACTAAACTGAGTTGATTGATCCATATCATAAATAATATGAAGAGATTAGGAAAGAAGCAGTGGTAGTGGTGCGCCCAATTCCATTATTCAATTGTTCAAATATTCAATTATTCTATTAAATAATAAAAAAAGCAGTGGGGGGCAGCAGTGATATTAATTCAAGTGTTGAAAATAATGGTGCTTATCTTGGATTAAGATTTGTTATACCATATTTGGGATTCATAATGGATCATATATGGAAATCAAATGGATGGAGCCTTGTGATGACTCGTTCTCGTGGGAGGGAGTGACATAGAAATTTAGAATACAGAAGCTGAAAGATTTATATTTTATATTTTTATATGCAAGGAGAGATGGAGGGCGACGTGGCTGCCTTCTGGGTTCGCTTCTTTTGAGTACTTTCTTTTTCCTCCATGTTGATGATTATAAAATGCTGCAACTGTTTTGAAAAGTTGAAAGTAACAATACCTGTCTCTTTCTCTTTTATTATCTTCATTATTTCTTTTTATATACTTTTTTGTAATTTATTACATGTATTTGTTTTGCCCTCCTCCTAATGGTTTACCAAATTTAAAAAAAAACAAGCAGAAAAGAAGGAGGAAAAACTAGACAAAACTCTCAGCCTCAGGTGGTCCTTGCTGGATTTATCTGCTCTGTTTCTTTCTGGTGTTGTTAACAATAACAAATCAGCAATATGGGCTAAGTAATTAATTTATATATATATTCCCTTTCCCTCTGAGAGAGTGTGTGAGTGGAGGGGTTGTGATTAAATTATATTTGTTGGGCTAGTCATTGATTCCTACTTTGAGTTTGCACTTTGCAATGAATCCCTTGACCTTCCTTGTTTTGGAGGGAACAGGGATAACACAGTGCTGCTGCTAATTATCTTCACCTCAATTTCTCTGGAAGTTTATGTGTTTTTCTTCTTCACTGCCTAAGCCTTGTGTGTGTGTGTGCGTGTGTGTGTGTGTGTGTGTCTCTCTCTCTCTCTCTCTCTCTCTCGTCTCTAGGAAAGGAGGAGATTAGAGAAGAAGGCAGAGTTGTTGTTGTGGTGGTTATGGAGTGGGACTTTAAGGACTTTGCTTGTTGGGATTCAACTGATGAGCTGGAGTTGGAGTTGGAGTTGGAATTGGAGCAGCAAAAACAGGAAAAAGATAGTGACCTTGCTGCTTTGGTTGGGTCCATCTCACAACCCCAGAAGAAGAAGAGATCAGCAGCTGCTGGATCTTTACTAGTGGATTTGAACTTGTCTGATGCTCCTCCTGCTGGACACTTGTTCAAGGACCCAAATAAGCCCTCAGCTGTGGCGTCATCATCGTCACCGTTATCGTCACCATCATCTTCATCATCATCATCCAAAAGGGTTAAAAGTAATGGAGCTGATGAGCAGAAAATGTCATGCTTGGTTGAGGGTTGCAAGACAGACCTCAGTCTTTGCAGGGAGTATCACCGACGCCATAGAGTCTGTGAGCTCCACTCCAAGACCCCTGTTGTCACCGTTAGGGGTGAACAGAAACGGTTCTGCCAGCAGTGCAGCAGGTTATATTTATGATCAATTCTGCAATCACCATGCTTTAATCAATTTAGGGTTCTTTTTCATTTTTATGTACAATTTGTTAGGAAGTTAGCT